ACAAGTCCACACAAAGTTAAAGATGCAAGACAATAATGTTTACGTTTGGCTACACCTGTTGTGGAGCCCCACGTAAAGAAAGTATTCTTAATGTCCCAAAGTTTGGTTTTGTACTTTTTGGGATTAAAATGATTAGATTACAGATATAGGGTTGATAACGGGGTGGGTTTGGGAGGGTTTTGTAAAATTCTAAATCCTCCCAAAATCCGTAATTTATACACATGGCCCTCTTTGACCCTACCCCCTCTTGTGTAGTTCCATGTAGGAATGGTAGGGTATTTGTGCAAAGTGTCCTATCCATTCCCTTCTTGTTCCAAATCCAGTAAACCCCTCAACCAAACGCTTTCTATTAAAAAAAGTCTTCTACTAAAAAAAGTTTTTTAATGCTTATAGTGTAACTTGAACCTAGATTAATTAATCATAGCACCAAATCTCTTAGCACTATTTTAAGCCATTAAGCCATTTCACCTTTTGTGTTATTTAATGAAATAAAGTAGATTTTATTAACTTTCATGTTTATCACAACAATCAATACATATATGATTAACAATTCCAACTAAAAATTAAAAGAAATAATATTTAAAATTTTCATTTTATATCTAAATGAAATAAACAATGGATCAAATTCAAATTTACATCAAATGGTGATTTTAATCCCAAGAAATTTATACAAATAAAATATTAATAATAGAATAATTATCTTAGTACTTAAAATTTATAAATTTGTGTATGATATATAATATAATAGGTTCATATTTATGCATCTTGGGTTTCGGGTATCCAATACCGTAAAGTCAAAACCCAAACTCTATAGGGTTTTAATCTAAAATCCCAAACCTGCCCCAAACCCTATAAGGTTTTGATAAACGGGTCCTATTAGGGTCAGAATAGGTCGGATATCTGAAAATTCCCACAAATTTGTCATCCCTAGCCCCATCAAGAAAAAGGTGATTTTAAAGTCCTAAAGTTTGGTGCTGTACTTTTGGGCTCCAAATGTTTAGATTATACATATAGAATTGGGTCGGTTTGGGGAGGGTTTTGTAAATTCTAAACCCTTCCCAAAATCCATAGTTTCTCACATATGAAAATACAAAACCCTCCTTTCATTTGGAGGTGGGTCATGGTGTGTTCATTAAAAACCAACAAAAAAAAATCAAAAACTTGAATAGAACTGATGAAACCGAATAAAAAAAGGGGCAAATTTCTTAAAGTACTATGGTTTAGGAAATTGACTAACTCTACCCCTACTGTTTGCATATTGTCTTAAAGTATCCTTAAGGTTTTTGACAATTGTCTAAAACCTCCCTTTCTATTAGCTTTTTGTCACATATTGTTTACATATAACATCACATGACAGATTTATTTTTTTCAAAAATTTCTAAAATACCCTTTTATGGTAAAAAATTGCCCTTTTCAGTTTGGACGCCTTTAAGAAATTTGCCCATAAAAAAAATCCAATTAACTAAATCAATTGGTATATATATATACATATATAATATACCTATGACCACCCTTGGCGAGTTGAGTTGGGTGAGTCTAGAACTTGCATCTAGTTTCCTGTTATATATAAGCAATAAACAAGTAAAATCAAACATCAAAAATTTGAAATATTTGATTGAAACATGTAGAAAACACATAAATATCAATTACCTTTCACATAAGATTCAAAACATTTTTAAATTCAACACACAATGCATAAGTTCACATGCCCTATAACAACAAATTAAAGCTAATTACAAGCACTATGGGTACTTTAGTAAGTTCTATATATGGGTCGTAGAGGTTGGTTTAGCCTAATACCATACCATGCCAAAACCTCAATTTTAAACCAAAAGAAAAAAAAGACATCGAGATGGAGTAATGTAGGGGTAGGCAATTTAAGACTGTGTTTTTAAAAGAAACCCTTACCAAATGCTTAAAAACATTTGTGCCATCATTTGGTTCACCATGCATACAGCCCAAAGCTCAAAATTAGAAACTTAATGGAAGCATATTATAGAATTAACTCCCCAGTAGTTGTGATGGTACAAAGTGTCCCTCACTCCCTCTTAAACATTTATTTTATAATTACAATCATATACAAATAGAATTTTTCATCTTCTTCCTAATTTCCCTTTTTATTCATATATATTGATTTTTTGTCATTCTTTCCTTTCATTTTCGTTAATTTGGGTAAATTACAAACTACTACATTGTATTTAGGGGTGGTGACACTTAGCTCTCTCAACTTTGTTTTAGGGGCTAAGTATGACTACCAATAAACTTAAAAAGTCTGATGGCCAGCATTCAATTTATCGGATTTGGTTGTTATTTGGATTGGATGTGAATTTGACCCTATCTGGTCCAATAAAAATTGCAGTCCTATTATGATATAATAATACATCTATATGTTAAAATGGAATGTGCCAAGCTGGACTTATCTTTTTATGGTTTTTTTTTTCAAAAGCATTTATCTTTTTTTTTTTGTTTTTTAATTTCTAATTTTGAAATTAAACAAAATAACTCAAGTGACCAATCACCTTTAAGACTTTTAATACTTCTTATTAACTTTCTCTCCATCTCACTCTCTCTCCCCTATTAACTCTTTTAATAAATCTCTCTTCATTAATTATGCCATTAACTCTCTCCTTTAATCACTAATGCCACTAATTCTCTCTCATCTCCACTACTCCATTAAATTCACAAAATTCATTAACTTTATCTATATCTATTTCAATTTTGCTATATATATATATAAATTGTAATTATTAGTAAAGATTAATAACATTGAAATCGAGATATTCAATGATATATTATTACACTAAATAATATACTTCCATTTAAAATTATAATCCATTTATATTCATTTGAAATTAATAAAAATTAGTTAGCCATAATAAAAATAATTTAGTAAGTTAGTTAAATAAAATAAAAATAATAATAATTATTAATTATTGTTACGAGAAAATATTTATTAATATAATAAAAATAAATAAATTAATAAAAAGAATAAAATAAACTAAAAACTAATGCAAAATTATCTAACAATTATTAATTTTACTAATTTAAAACCAATTTAAGTTCTATTGAAAAATAAAAACTTAATATAGTTAATTAAATTTCATAAGGAATTGAAATTTAATAAAATATTTATATACTTAATTAAATTTATTTTTTACTAATTTAAAAAATTAATATAAAATATTGATTTCAAATTTAATTCAATTATTTTAAAATCAATTTTAAATTAAATTTAAAAATAAGGAAAATTATTACAACATCATTAGATTTTCTAACAATCCTATGAAACTCCCCAGTGTTTTGACCTTAACAGAAACCCCCCTTATTGTTCTGAAAAAGGTGCAAATACCTCCCTTTCGTCATCATTCCAAATATAAACATTGGTGTAATGCATTAATTTTAATTCACTTTGTTTTAAAACTTGAACCTTTTTGCCTTACTTTGTCTAAAAGGAGTAAGGAGAATTATTCTTTAAAAGTTGTATGGAAAAATAAAATAGTGAAAGGATAAAGTTGAAACTTTAAATTGTGTAAAATAATGCATTAACAATGATAAAGGTATTTTGGTAACTTCAATGTCTTTGTTACCCAAAAGCCAAGGGAAATGAGGTATTTGCACTTTTTTTTCACAACTTTAGGAGAGGCCATTATTAAGGTCAAAACACAAAGGTGGTTTATAGAATTATTATTTAGATGTTTTTTATAAAGTTACCTAAAAATAATACAAAATTAATAATAAACCAATAAGAATTAATAAAAAAGATATTTTTCTCAAAAAAAGCATTAAGATACAAAAAAATACAAATTTATCTAGAGAATAGGAAATTAGCCACTCTCACTAAAGTGCAACTTAGATTATGGTCGGATAAACTAGATCTAACCCAAAAAATAATACTTGAGTTGAACTTGGATAGGCATTACTTAATTGGAAATGTCATAGAATTCCATCTTCAATTTTGTTTATAAATAACGCCCATACATCACACGCATCCTTACTAGTATATATTATATCATACACACACAAAACAAAAATTCCTATAGTTTAATAAATTTGAATTAAAATCAAATTCGATTATTGGATTTGGGTTTGAAAATTGAAATTAGTCATCAGGTTGAATTTGGATACAGTTGAATCCGATTACAACCATAAAAATCGTAGCCCACCCTAAGGCTGCGTTTGGAAACGATGCAAATGGAGTGTAAATCCCGGTTTAGGGTAAATTTACACTCTGGTTCACTTCTGCTTGTGTTTGGCAACACTACATTTATGCATTGACAAATGACATATCAATGCATATTTACATTGATAATAAGATTTAAAAGTACATCAATAAAAAAGAAGTAAATTTGCATTCAAGTGGGCTTTTGATAAAAAAAAAAGTATATGCTTTATTGGAATTCATGTTTGCATTCATTATAGCTAAAAGTATGTTTGGTAAAAAGATAAATTTGTCAATGCAAAACTGACCAAATTTTATAATTTATATGAATCACTTTACACTCTATATAGTTGCATTCACACTTATTTGCATCTTTTCCAAACTCAGCTTAAACAAGGATGTACCCTTTTTACAAATTACACGAGGATTGAAGCCATGACATTTACAACAAATAATAACTATTCTTAGATTTTGGGCCGTAATCTAACATTTTTATATGTCTTTGAAAAATAGTTCAGTCACTCACCACAATGACAAAATTCATAATTAAATAAGGAAAGACATTAAAGATTATTAACTCCCCTCCCAATAAATAAATAAAATAAAGACATTAAACACATCATATATATACATTTATTTTATCCAAATATGTGTATATGGTATAGACCAAATTACCCTGTCTGCTTGCCAATTTTACTCGAAAAGAATTATCTTTTTTTTGGGATAATAAAAGATATTGATGCCCTTTTCCCCAAATCGAAATATTACATATAAGTCGGATTTCTATTTCTATGTGGTAGTAGTAGTGAGTCAGGGGACTCACTAAAATTCAGAGCAAACGGGTACCGTAGCGTATGGAACAAATTCTAAGTGGAAAAAGAATACCTAGGTGGGTGGTGGCGGAGGGTACGATACCTGTATAATGAGAGGGAAAGTAGGTCTGACAAGTGCCCTTTGGCGCAGTAAAGTAAAAAACCAGGTTTCTCCACTGCTTGCCTCTAGGCTACGGAGATTATCAATTGCGATTTGCGAGCGAGACCTTCACCAAAATCTGTAACCACCTTCGATCGTACTCATACCACTCTTCCAGGTTGTTTTTCTTCCAACTTCAACCAGATTTCGTTTATTCGATTATTCTGTCCTTCTCCATCTGCAGCTTCCGTTCCTATATCCTGTTACTGTATCCACCCATATCAATTTCCCCCCTCTCCCTGGAAATATCCTCAATTTTAGTCCTTCTGGATACGCCTCAGAGAGTCAGAGTCCTTGAATGGCTCAGATGAGTGTCTCCTATGATCTTATGATATCTTGAATTCCCAATATTTTCACTGTCGTTCCGTGTCCCGACGGCCGTCAAAACCGCCGCCGGGGTACTGGGCCTCTGAGGTTCGCCTGCTCTTGTATTCGCGGGGCTGATACCTTCAGCTCTTGGTTGCATGGGCGATCTTCAAGCTTGGTTGCCACTGCCAGACGGCATCTTAACCGAAGACCGCCAGTTCCCTGCCCCATCGTCTTCTTCTTCACCCAATCCAAACCCATTTTCCATTGGTGCCGGCAGCTGGTCGAGGGCCGAGCTAACGACCCATGAGATAGTATGCCGAATTCAGCCTACAGTGGTCTCTGAGGAGAGGAGAAAGGCGGTCATTGATTATGTGCAGAGGCTAATTAGAGGTTATCTTGGAAGCGAGGTAAGAATCATTTCCTTTCAATTTCCTTCATCTTATCTCGAGAGTCGTAATTTTTTTTTTCCTGTGTACCAAATATGTTTATATGTTTATTTATTTCTATATGATTCATCCACCACCTGGTTATGGCTCCTTTTTTTGTTGTTCTTTAACTGCGTGCTTTTTCCAGGCGTAATTGCAATGCATTCAGTCCCTTCACCTGTTTAAGCGTTAAGGTGTTTTGGTTTCAAAAAAGAACACTTTCGTTTCTTTCGTTCTTTGTAAAGAAAGTGGAGGTGGGGGGCTAGTCTTGGAATGCGTTAAGCATCCTGCTCGGCTCCTCCTTACCTTCCGTCTTCTTATGCGGTCACGGTATCGGTTTGCTTTTAAGATGGCATCTAAACTTCTGCTTCATGCAAGAAATTGATCTTATCTTCAACTATCTATCCTACTAATAATCGATCCATGCGTCCACCCATAAACATATACTATTATGTTTCCATGAGGAGTATCTTAAGTTCTGCTTTATGCATGACATTAATCCGTCTTCCATCACACCTTTTTTGATATCAAAAGATAAATTCATTAAAATAGAAGACTTCTACAACGCAGTGGTGATCACCAACAAAAATACACTTCAGCATTATCCCAAACCAGAAATTCGACCAATACATATCACACTTCCAAATAGGATAAAGATAAACTCTACCCTAATACCTAAACCACACAACAAATTAGAAAATATTAAGAACAGACTAACCAAACATCTACATTGCCTCTAGAAAAAACTGGTCCCCTTGATTAAACCTGCACCACCCTACAAAGCCAGGCTCCACCTCTAATCCACTCTACAACCTTACCAAACAATGGCCGCAAGACTCACCTATTACCCCTCTCCCTTGTACCCTAAACAACATCTCAAAAAAAAAAAAGGAAAAAAACTCATTTCTTCTTGAAGCCAATATCTGCCAAGGGACTATCTTTCTTGTCCAATTCCACTTAGCTTTCTCAGTTTGCTGGCGTATATCTATGTATATATGCATGTATCTAGATCCAAGCATATTTGCAGATACTTGCATTTTTTTTTTCTATTACTATATATTGCTGATACTTGCCTTAACTTCATGTCCAGGCCACCATTACTTTAGCCCATGTATTTTCCTCTCTCTCTCTTGCCTCTGTAAGTGCATGTGCCACTCAACTATTATGTATAAATGCATAATATCCTTTCTTCATTTCCAAAAGAAACTACAAAGGAATATAGAGAAGTATATTTAACAGTCACAACAATAATGGTCTCATTGGTTAAAGGAAAACCTGCTCGATCTACTGCTATTTTTGACATGAATTAGTTGAGCAAGATGGTCTCTTATAAAGGAAATCACTTATCACTCTCTTCTTGTTATAACGGCAAGCCAGTTTTCAAGAAAGCAAAAGAGGACAAACAAATTGCATATGTGTATCTATATCTATGCATATACGCATTTGCCTATGTATATATACACTTGTATTTTCTTCTTTGTACTCGATTAGTATGAACTTCTATCTATAATATTCTTTATATCCTATATTTTTATTTTCCAAATTGAATGATTATTGTATTGTACGGGAGCTGTCAATTCTGGGTATGGTGTCAACAGGACCATATTCCTTTATAAAAAAAGAAAAAAGGAAAAAAGATATTCTGATATGTTCTGGATTTTAGTTTGCAGAAGAGTTTCCATGATGTGTCAACATTGGTTCACTTTTCCCAAGTATTCATTTCTTTTGTTTGGTTTTAACAAAGGTTCCTGTCAAAATGCCAGAGATATTCATGGAGTTGATGAGATATTTGCGACCCTATGCTTTCCCATATCATCAATTCATCATCATTATTCCAGCTATATAGGGTTTGCTACGTGGGTCCTGTTTTGCCATTCAGTTTTGTGTATTGCCATATCCATTATTTAATTATGAACCGTTCAATCATTTCTTACCACTTCAATGCATGTCCTTTTAGTCTGCCCCTAGCTCTTCTAGTTCTAGCCTCTTTAACTTGTAAAAGATCACTTTCTCAGTAAAATCATTCTACAACAGAATTTGCTCTGAAGAGGGTAGCTTTCCTTCGAATAAAGTCTGGAAAACTGCAGCCCCTCCCAAAGTTGCCTTCACATGGGTAGCTTCTCTAGGAAAAGGTTTGCCGCTGAGAACCTGGCAAAAAGAGGAAGGCTGATGGAACATTTATTTCTACACTGCAAGTTCGCAAGAGAGCTTTGGTTGAAGGCTTTGAGATGCTTCGAGGTGTCCTTGTGCTTCCCATAAGGTCTTTTGGAGTTACTTTGGAGCTGGAACCTAGCTGGCTTAACTGAAAAAGGAAAAGTCATCTGGGGAGTAATTCCACCAGCAGTGCTGTGGACAGTTTGGATAGAGAGGAACATGAGGCTTTTCGAGGACAAATACAATTCAGATGATTCAATGCTAACAGTTTTTCGGGGAAGAATTTATTCTTGGGTGGCTTCTCACAAATTATTCAAGAACACTCCATACAATACTTTTTTTTGACAACTGCAACATATTTGTATCTAGCTGAATAGAAGCCCATGAGATGTATAAAGTTTTTTTTTTTTTTTTTTGTGTGTGTGTGTGTTTTGTTTTCCTGCTCGGTGTCTTACTGTGCAGGTCTCCTGTAATTTCTTCTCTTCTTTAATGAAATACTTTAGCTTTTCTCAAAAAAAAGTGTTCAGTCCACATTCCCTTATTTTATTACCTATTAGGGCTACTCCTAGGTTCCTTCCAATAATTTCATTTCTGACCATGTCCTTTATAGTTTTCCCACTCATCCAGGATCCATATCAACATTTGCATTTCTGCCAAGCTCTTTTTCTGGACATTTTGTTTCTTGATTGCCCAACACTCTGCTCCACACAATATTGCTGGCCTTACAACCATTTTATAAAATTTTTCCTTTCAGCCTAAGTGGTATTTTCCTATCATGTAAGTCTTTGGCCATCCTGCTCTAATTCTATGGGTGACATCCATTGCATCGAGTTATCACTTGTTTATAATCCCAAGTATACCCTGATTTGCACTCCTATTATTATTAAATTTATACTTCATTTATTCTATTTTAATCCTATTTATTTTAATACCTCTTGTTTCTAAAGCATTTTCAATAAATCTAATTTTACATTTTAATCCTTTGTTTGTTTTGTTTCATCAATTAATACTGCGAGTACACCCCATCAGCAAATGACAAGCACCATGGGCAAATACCATTTATATGTTTTTCCTTTGTTCTAGGTGTTGCTTTGTGCACCTTTATTTGAATGTATTTTTGGGGTCTTGTAAATGGGACATCTTGAGCTCACCATTTTCTTTTTAAAGTTTTATAATTCATATTTCCATCCTTTCTTTGACCCTAAACATCCCACATGAAGGGGCAGTCACCTAAAACATTACTAAATAAATTCAACTACTAAAGTCCTCCATTGACCCATATTTGTGAATCTTCTTCACTAACTTAAAAACATGGTTTTCAGAGCTTTGTTTATTGATGTATCTATAGACTAGTCAGCTTAGGGAATCCAGGAATTTCTGGAGTTGGGGGTGTTTTCAGGAAGTGGGAAGGAAACATTAGAGGAGGTTTATTTGGGGTGGGGCCTATCAAGAAGGTGAAGAAGCCAAAGAAGGTCTGGAAGAGAGAGAAAGAGATTCATCTTCAAGTCACTGGAGAAGCTGAAAGTTCATCAAAATTCTGGTTGAAGGTTAAAGGGGAGTGTAGTTTTTGGTGTCTGTTTTTTAATCTTTTGGTGGTGGATGGGGTTTTGGTGTTATGGCTTTGGGTGGGTGCTGGGTCTTGTGTTGAGTCAGGTTTTCTGTTTTTTTTTTCTGTTGTTTTTGTCTGGTTTGTTTGGGGTTGGGTGGTTGCCTTAATTTTTTGGTGGTGGTGGGGGGGGGGGGTGTATAAATTGTTTGTAGTGGATGGTGAAGTAGGGGGTTGAGGTTTGGAGTTTGGAGGTTGTTTGTTGTCTTTCTTCTCTCAGGTGACTTCTGGTCACCTTTCTTGTAGTTTCTATTTTTTTTCTTTTAAAAAATTTTTATTTTATCTTCAAAAAAGTATCTGTAGATTGGTTTTTCCATTAGTCTTATTATCTTCTGTATCATTTCTAATTTGCATTGTTACAGGTTTTTCCCTTTGGTTCAGTGCCACTGAAGACATATCTTCCTGATGGAGATATAGATTTGACTGCTCTCAGTTATCAAAATGTTGAGGATGCTTTGGCCAATGATGTTCGTACTGTCCTTGAAGGAGAGGAGCAAAATAATGCTGCTGAATTTGAAGTAAAGGATGTTCAATACATTCATGCAGAGGTTTCTCCATACTAACACCTTAAGGACATTTTAATTCTACTAAACTATGTTACCTAGAAATGGCAAGAACATGGTCAGATAAGGTGGTGGATATGGAATTTAAACTAAAAGTTGTAGCATTTCTCTTGATACACAACCCTGTACAGGTGTTTAGTGTCATAGCTAAAAGGATATTCCATGCATGATTATTTGCTGTTTACTTTGCATTTCTTTTTTTCTTTTTTGTGTTTGATATTACTGGCTATCCATGCTTTAAATAGAACAGATTGGAGAAACAGGATTTGTGTAGCTGACCCCATATAGTTTTTTTTTTTTTTATCAGCAACAATGATTGATTCATTAATTAAAAATATATGGGATTAAGTACAGTCTGATGACCTGAATGTCATCCCCAAGACTAAAACCAAAGTTACAAAGATGCCCAGTATAGATGCTGCCTTGCAGCCCCTTGTTTGGCTAAAGTATCTGCTAACCCATTTGCACTCCTGATCCACCTGAAATCAGCATTTATATCCTTCGCTAATCTTTGCACTTCCATGAAGACATGTTTGAGGGTCCATGGGACATGTCTGTTACATCTTGCCCAAGATATAACAACTTTTGAATCTCCTTCCACTTCCACCTGTCAAAAACCCAATTGCTTTGCCAACCGGAGCCCCTGTAGTAATGCTCGTAACTCTGCCTTTGTTGAATTTGTAATGCCAATTGGCCCTGAATATAGAGCCAATATCTTACATTCCCCATTCCTGATTGCTCCCCCTATTCTTGCCACTCTTGGGTTGCCCATAGAGCTTCCATCAAAATTCAGTTTTACTTTGTTAACCTCAGGTGGTTTCCATTCAGCTCTTAGAATTTCCTTTTCTCTAGAGGACTGCTATTTCCTTCCATGCCCTTAGGATGCCAATTACTGAGAAAAGTTGGAAATTGACTAAGGTTTTTATCCACAATGCAAACCTCACCTTTATGCTGTCAATGACCTCTTCCAAAGTTCAACTTTTTTCAGCAAAAAAAATGTTATTTCTTTCCTCTCATACTTCTCCAAGCAATAGTTGCTTTAGTAGCTCTCCACATTATTCTCCCTCTTTTCTTTTATTGCCTCAAGAAGTTGGGATTGAAGATGTCTGTCACCTCTTGGGGAGGGATCCACCTGTAGTCAAAGAGAGAACAAAAAAATTTTCAAATACGAACAGTGATTTAAAAGGCTCGCCCAGGCGCACAGGCGAGGCACGTTTTAGGGTATGCGCCTCGCCTAGGTCCTAGGCGCAGCCCTTTCAAAAGGCGCACAGAGAAGCAACAAGAAAACACAACAGTAAGAATGACTAAAGCATTACAGTTGAGCCCAAAAGCACTGTGCCCTGTTAACCCCTTGTTTTGCCAGTTGATCTGCAATATTATTTTGACATTGCGACCCACTGAAATTCCACCTGCCTATTACTTTGCAATCTTCTGACCTTTTTTTTTTTTATCTCATTCTGAAAGTACCATGGGGCCTTTTCAGGTTGTTTCATCCAACTGATGATCATCTTTGAATCTCCTTCTATTATCAATTTATTGACTTTTATTTCAACAGTTTTTTGTATCCCAAATGCCATAGCATTCCATTCTGCTGTTATGGAGTCCCCTGGGCTAAGAGGGCAGGGATATAGTCCCCAAATTGCTCCACTGTCATCTCTTATCACCCCTCCTATTCCAGAGGGCCCTGGATTACCCAAATTGCTTCCATCAAAATTTAGTTTAAGGAAGCCATTCACTGGTGGGTCCCATGATTTTATCAGTTTCCTCTTTGAATGAGAAGAAGCTGCTATTACCTTCCAGTTCCTGGTTAAATCATCATGACTAAAGTCTGAAAACAGACTTAAAGTCTTAACCCAATGTACCACCCTTACCATAGCCCTTTCTATTACAACTTCCTTGCTTCTTTTCTTTTCCTCAAAGATTCTCAGGTTTCTTTTCTCCCAAATGGTCCATATGATTGCTGCCCTCGTACATCTCCACATTACTCTCCCTCTCTTTTTTGGCAACCTGAAAGTAGAAGGGCCAAACAACCTGTCCAGACTTCCTAGAGTGTTCCACCTGCACCCAAAGAGTGAGAAAAACCAGTCCCAAGTACAATAAGCAAAAGGGCAAGAGATAAGAACATGATAAGCAGTTCCACCATTAGATTCACATAGGTAGCACCAGTTTAGGGAGAGGCACCATCCTGGTCTCTTTCTCTGTAATAAGCAGTGTTTTAAAAGCGAAAGGCGCAAGGGCCATTTTGCGCCTGAGGCGCAAGGCGCAAGGTGAGGCGTGCGCCTCTTTGAGGCAAGGTGCACAATTTAAAAAAAAAGCTAAAAAATAAAAAAAATTCAAAAAATTATAAAACATAATATTAATAAAAATATAAACTTAAGCTTTAAAATAAATGTTTTATAAAACCTGTTATTTAAAATTAAAATACATAAACATAACATGTAAAGCATATTCAAATGAGAATTTAAAAATGAAATCAAACATATAAAACATTTTCAAGCATATAAAACCCACAATCTCTTTTTTTTTTTCCTCAATTTCATCAAGTAACTAATGTGACATATTACATTCTTAATTCTATGAGCCACCTTTGTGCCACGCCCCTCGTGGCAAGCCCAAACAAGCCCATTTTAGGGTTTTAAATTCTGAGTTTTCTCACAAAGGCGTTTGTTTCCCATGTAAATCTCCAAAGCCGTTTTCCTAGGAGAGCCGAGTTCTCTTTCAATCTCCCTAAACCTAACCCTCCCGATTCCTTCCTTTTGCACACTATCTCCCATCTAATTAAATGATCTTTCTTTCCCTCCTCCGGTTCCCACAAAAAAATCCCTCATTAGTTTTTCTAATCTTTTAATAATGGCTTGGGGCATTACCATTTTCCTAAGGGTACTTGGAATTTATTAAGTGTTTATTTTAGGGCATTGCCATGTTCATTTACTACATCTTGTTAAACTAATCTCCAAGCTATCTTAGGAACCATTGTACATATTGGCAACATGAGAAGTCATATTTATTGATTTACCTTTTGTTCATGTATCTGCATAATATCTTATTTTAACTTTATTTTTGTTTTAGTGATAGTTGTAATGGTAACACATTTGGTTTCTTTCTTTCTTTTTCCTTTCATGTGCAATGGATTTTTGTGGAAGAGAAGAAAATTTTCTCTTCCAAATACCATTGAATTGACTTATGGCTAGCTTCTTTTAGAATTTAAGCTAAATGAGAAAAAAACCTCCTACATTTCTGCAGTCTTTTAGAAGAAGGCAGCTGATTATTCAAGTGTTGAACTCTCCGGCTCATACAGTAATGGGACCTTTTACTTGTACTAATTAAAGGTGTTTTAAGAAATTAGAATAAATTCAATAGGAGTTTTTAGCTATATCTTCTCTTTGACACTTATTTGATCCCAGTTCCTCCTTTAATCTCTATGGTTCCCTTTTATATCAGAAAATCTCACAATGTTGTAAAGCCTCAGGTTATCAGGCCCCAAGTAGCTTTTGGTAATTCATTAGATTTTTTGATTGTCTTTATTGTACAACCTTGTACCTCCTGCAGGATTGAGTATTCCTGTTGAGTTCAAAAGATTCTGTGGTTTTATTAGACAATCTTGGTGGTACCCAGAAAGTGCAAGTACCTGGATTTATTTTTTTTGGTTTTCTTTCCTCAATTGGCATTGCATGCATCTCCTTTGATCTGGACCTTTTCTAGTTTTGTAGCTTTCACAAACCTTAAATGATAAAAAATTTCTTTTTTCTTTTCTTTTTCTTTTTTGTTTTGTTTKGGGGGGGGGGGAGGGTTCAAGCGTCTGGCTTGGGATGTGGTGGAAGCTGAAACTGCTAGGGAAAGGGGTGGAAAAAAGATAGAGAAAAGTAAGGCATATGAAGTGGGAAGGAAGGTGGTTATGATCGGAAGGTCCATTTATTCAAGGAAAGGGAAGAAAGAGGAGTGGTAAGAATGGTTAACCAAAGCTTGGTTTAACAGGTTGGTTTCGTAGTTGTGTAGTTGCTGTGGTTCCCTTTGCGTGCTATCACTGTTGGTTGTAGGTTCCAATATGATTGGTGGACAATTGAAGCACAAACACAAATACACTGTATAAGAACAAGTTCAAAAAACTACCCTGAAAGGGTAATTACTCCAATAGAATAAAGCATACAAGTCATAATATTCTCAATCCCCAAATCCCCATACCCTTCTACTCACTAGATCTCATCTCACCAAATGATCCTTCTTAGACTTGCTTGGCTCCCAAAATCTCTCATAATTTTCTCAGTTCTCCTAGCCACTTTCACTAGGATTCTGATTGTAGAGAGAAAGTAAATGGCCAAGTTGGACAGGTTAGCCTTGATTAAAGTGATCCCCCCCCAAAAGAGATGTAAATGTAATTCCTCTTCCACATGGCCAGTCTTTTGGTCAATCTCTCTATCACAGGCTTCCAAAAGTCATCGGCTCTCAGATTTCTCCCCAAGAGAGAGTCCTAAGTAAACCATTGGCCATGATTTTGTCTCACACTCAAGAAGGTTTGCTATAGAGTTTACTTCCTCATCCTCCACATTTTGTTCCTTGTCACATAGCTCTTCCCCAGATTTATCTTTAGGTTAGACATCCTTTCAAGTCTTTGGAAAATATCTATTAGATTCTTCAATTCATCTTCATTTTCCTCCTCACAAAAAAAGATAGTATCTTTTGCAAACTGAAGATGATTACTCTCATCTTGTCTACTTTCCATCCTTTTATCAAATATTACTGTACACTAATGATTAATCTGCTATCAAGGTCAGCAAAAAGGGAGAAAGTGGGCCCCTTGCCTCAATCCCTCTTAGCTTGGAAGAAATCTATTTCTACCCCATTAACCAAGATCAAATTGTGGCGGCTCTTTAAGCACTCTGTCATCCATCTACACCATCTTTCACCAAAACCTTCTCTAGAGTCTCCAACAAGAATGACCAGTCCACCATATCATAAGCCTTAAGTCAATTTGCACACTAGCCCTT